TTTTTTTTTTTCACAATTTAGTTTTGCGGTTCGTTTTTCGTCACTGATACATAACTATTTGAAGTAGATTATGGAATTTTTAATATGATATATTTTGTATATAATATTAATGTGTAGAATAAAAGTAATAAGCATATACTTTTAAATGGAAATTAATTTGAAAATCGTATTTCAACTTTGATTTGATAAATTGTAGTACAATATATAGCTACAAATTTATATATATATATATATAGGAAAGTTCATTATGGTTGATTATAGGGATAAAATATTAGTGTTACTCTATAGTATCTTTGTTTTACAGTGTTTAATGTAATTTAATTAATTACTAGCTCGTATTATTATATGATTTTTACTTATTGTCATTTTAGAAAAATTGCATGTAGTGTGTACACAACAATTTTAAATATTTTTTTACTTAATGTTATCTTGATTAATTTTATTGAATTATATTAGAAAAAAAATGTTTTTGGCGAGAACTACAATTCACACTTCTATTGAATATTTGATTTATTATAGAAACCTTATAACTTAAATTAAAAACAGGCCAACGGAACATGGAGGCGGCTAGCACTTCCGCCTGGTCCATATCTCTTTTCCTCAACGATAACATAATTCATTGACCCGCTATTTTTGGTTTAATTTTTTTTTTTCACTTTTATTCATCAATGAAAAATGTTAATCGAATACATGCGAAATTAAAGTTTTGATTAAAAAAAAATTACACATAATAGTTATCACATCCCTTTAGTTTCCAGTTTTTTATTGTTAAATATTAACTTAATATTTAGGTAATGTCATTATTTGCTTTAATTATTTTACTTAAAAAAAGTATATAAATATATTGTGTCATATGCACTGTTGTTCTTAAGACTCATATAAATGGTTCAGTATAATTATTAAAATAACGATATATATTTGAGTAAATACATGTGATTTAATTCAGATGTTCTTTTGTGTAATAATTAGTCTTTTGTCATTTATATTTATTTAACGCTAATTATATGTGGCACACTTCATTTCTAGCAATATTTAAAAAAAGTATTTTAAAATTAACATTTAGTTTTATTAGCAATTTCTACGGTTAAACTATAAAAGTATGAACAGAAATATGTGTAATATGATGTAATTTTAGAACATATAATTTAAATTTGAACTTTCATCGTGTGCGTTTTTATTTGTAATGCCATGTACGATTTTAAATATGCATTTTCCATATAATATACTACACAGACAACATAAATTTTAATATACATTCAGAAAATATGTTTTTTTCACTCCGAGTTTATGTTATTTTTAGGACATAAAATACTCGGCCCATGTGAGTTGTATTAATATACATTGACTTGATGACATAATCATAATTACAATATGTTTTTATGAAGCGATTCTATGACGCTGGATTAAATTTACTATACTTGTATATATTTTTTGAAGTGCTCGTCGTTGTTAATAAAAGCTTCTATAATAAATAAAATAAGAAAATAAATTTAAAACAGACAAATTAATAATTAAAAATATTTATGATCAATTCCGGCTCCATCAAACCTTCAACAATGGTGAAAATGACAACAATAAGACCAGCTTATTTTAATTCGGACGACTGTAATATTGCTTTCTACGAGCATCTAAATTATAGAACTCGTAAGTGAATTTATTATACGTACATATGTTATGGGTTTTGTTCATTAATTTTAGTGGTGTGCATCTTCAAGAAGTGTGATATTTTTTATTTTATTTAAAAGTAATCAAGTACGTGATAATAATTTTTATTATGCAACGTGTATAATGTGACCACTGCAGGTACTTTATCACAGAAATTGTCCGCCCTATTTTACTTACAGTTCGTAATTACGTTTTTTTTTTTAGCTAGTTATTGGTTTTCTCTCCCCATATCCAATTAATTAAAAAACACTGTGGGCTACGTTTGTATATTATAAAAAAAGTAATATCAGGTGGATCGATACACCTGATGCTCACAACATTGCTGCACAACGAATAGTAGATATGTTATTTAATTTAAAAGTACATTGACGTCTTTACTTTTTCCTAAAAGTATTTGATATTTCGATGCGTGTTAGTGTTTTTGTAAATTCTCAAGTATTATATATATGATAATAATTTTTGGTTGTATATGAATTCGGAAAAATGATAACGACCAAAAAAAACGTAACAAGTTAAATAGCAATTTGTTGGAAGTAATGAAATGGATGTAATTTTCTTTAACGACTTTCTTTTGCTAAATAATAATTGGCCGTGCGTCTTTATGCTTGCCATGGTTTATTGCTAGGCTATATAATATGCACAGTTAGAGTTGGAGGCTTAAAGTTTATGTATTTTTAGATATGTCGATTATATATTGATAGTGCATCATGTGCTTATTTATAATGTCATTACTAGTTTTAATTTATTTTAATTCATAGGTGGATTAATTTTGGATGATTTTAAATAATTGAATATTCAATTTAGATTAATTTATGATTTTTAAATCCTAATAATTTTTACAGCAAGTTCTTAAGCAAAAATTAATATTATACTTTGCTAATATATATATATATATATTTTTTAATGTATAATGTCGATGAAGTCCATTTTGTAATTGTATAATTTAAAATTAACTGTCAATGTTTAGATGAATTAGTTTTTATTAATTATTAATTATCAATAATTTTATCAACTAAAAATCAAATTAACTACTAAATTATGTATAATATATACAAAATTATTAATTTCAGAAAATGTTAATATAATTTTTATTTTCTTTAAAGAGTCAAGGAAAATTAATGTCTTAAGTTAATCTTAGTAGCCATGTAACAATATTTAAAATTTATTTTTGCTATAATAATTGTAACAATTATACAACAATTAATTATGTTATAAAATATTATATTGAAATTTATTATTGCAAGGAAGCGAGTTTTTTAATGAATGCTATAAGTTATAAAATTTAAATAAAGTCGGCTGAAACATTGTGGTTCTAAGGCCAACATGAGATGAAAAGAAAATGATCAACTCAAAAAGATATACCATTCTTAATAAGATTTTGAAAGTATTGTTTAATGTCTTGAGGGTGTAGGTAAATGGTTTTAGATATTATTTTTGATGTGTGGTTCTTAGATGATTCGATTTGCTTTTGAAGTAAAGTAAGTAAGTAAAGTGTAGCAAAGTTTAAAAGTTTTAGGAAAGTACTTAAACCCAATTTATTTATGTTGATAATATCGGATGACTTAAGTCGTGTACTATAATTCATAGAAAGTGTATCGTAAATAATATCTGAAAATAACCCAGTTTTGAGCATTATATAAATATTTATAATTTATAGATTACGAAAATAGGTAAATAAAATGACTTATTTGATTTCAAATAAAATTTAATTTTAATTTATGGTCGTTAAATATATTATACTTCTAAAATTAATATAAATTATTTCCATTATTATACATATTCTATACAAATTAAACTGTTTAAATAATAAATAGCGATTTTCATATTTTTTATCGATAAAATCACAATTGATTATAATGCAGTTGCTTAAGAATTATAAAAGTAATAATAAATTAATGGAAAACCATAGTTTATTTTCTTTATATATTTGAGCTTGTGGTGAAAAGTAGATGTATTTGTTAAAAAATTGAATAATGAAGTGTTTTCTTAGTTTAGGTGTAATAGAAAATAATAATTTGTCTAAAGTGAAAGGTGTCAAACGTTTTATACAATCTATGATTTATAACTAGTATTTGTTTAACGGTAAAAAGTAATATATCAATATAATATTATGTACATGACATTTATATCGTTTTAATACCGACATGCAAAAAATAACATAAGAAAATTAAATAAACAATTTTAATAATATTATTATTTCTTAAAGATCATTTATTATTCGCATAATATTCATCGTGTTTATTATTTTTATGTCTACTTGCATTTAATTAGACTCTTTACGCTTATAGTAAATTACTAACATACATCTATAAGCCGTGTAATACTATTTGATTGTCTATATTGTTTAAACATAATCCATTGAATTAATATTGATTATCATCTAAACGCTATATTATCTGATCATTTAGATTCTGAGCGAAGCTGTAAATGTAATAGTTTTATCATGATGCGATTGTAAAATATAAATACTAACCAATAAACATAGTAAAATCAATCCAGTGATGTGTTACTGTTAACATTGATATCTCAAATTTGACTTTTTTTTTTAGTTTTTTTAAACTGTTGATAGCTTTGAAAAAAACCAATATTTAAAAAATATATTCTCCGCAGTCCGTAACACACGAAAATCGAATGTTTTATAGAAAAAAAAAAAAAAAAATCGGAACACGGAAGGTAACGAATCTACTGCTGTAAACAACTGTACATTTTTTTTTTTTTTTACACACCTATCGTATTGCAAGTAAATTTTTAGTATTTCGTTAATATGGACGGCGTTCGTACATTGTAACGACTAGTGCGACTTTACGATAACCTTCGTGGTATTTTTAGGGTTTTCAAGTAATCACACACGAATTTCTTACAACACATCATTCCGTAGGTACTCGGTTTTTAAGCGCTCGATATCGTATTACCGCGAAACGTTCAATGCCAGCTATTAATAATATCGTTATTATAATAATTTATACGTTCCGTCCAAGACCGTTCTCAACACCCTGTCGTTGAGCCGCTCGTACCGGACCATATGCGTCGGTTTTTCAAATTGGATTATATATACACACATGTATGTATCGGACACCGAGCGGGGCAAATACCACCGTTTATACTTTTACGTACACTCGCACACACACGGACGCACACAGACACACACACACACGGACGCACACAGACACACACACACGGACACACGGACACGCGCGAGCACATGAACGCGTATACGTATTAATAGGCGCGTGTGTGTGCACGCACGCCGCGCCGCCGGGGCGGCCACGTTTGTGCGTGTGAGAGATCTTTTCTCTCTCTCATTCCACTCTTATCCGATCTCTCACCACGTTTCGTTGTGCGTGCGTTCTCCTTCGACAGCGGCGGCGGCGGTGGCGGCGGCGGCAGGCAGCGACGGTGGCGGCAGAGCGGTATCCTCCGGCACCACCGACGGGTAGCTCAGAGCACCCGCAGCATCGCGCATCACCGCGCGGACCAGGGGACCCCCCGACAGAAAATTCAGTCGTTTTTTCGCCGCGAGTCAGTGAAGATCTAACCGTCGTAAGAGATCCTGTCCGCCGCGGTTCATGCACGTCTACGATCGCGACCGTGCTGTATATGTGTGTACGTCTGGTAGGCACCGCTAACGTATCCGTCGTGCCTTCTAAATGGACGTTCTCAGATTCGAGAAGTAAGACATTTTTTTTTTATTAATCACTTTTCGCGCTCGCTTTTTTTTCCCCCCCCCAGTTGCTTTTTTCAACGAGGGGTTTTTTCGTTGTTACTTTATCGCGCTCTCGTTCCTTTCCACCCCGCGAAAAGCACGTACAGTGAAAACACGGGAAATTTTTTTTCAACCCCCCAATATTCTGGTACAATATTCCTCCATGTAGTTTTATTGTTTGTAGCGCGGTACAATTGTTTCATTTATCGAGTTATACACACTTTTACGTGCACAATCAACAAATTTAACTTTGACCGAATCCCAAATAAAATCCTTCGACCTACGTAAGATAATATTTTATACAAGCTACTGTAAATAATTTTATTTTTCCGACGATTTCACTAAAAAGATATTGTGGAAAGGACAGTATGTTGAGACATATTTCAAGTATAAAAATAACAGACCCGATCGAAAAAACATTTTTTTATCTTGGTTAATATTCTTATGAATTCAAAGAAACATATAACATTGAATTTTTAAATTTAAATAATACCATAGTTATCTCGTCAAACTTTATTATATCTAAAGTACATAAAATATAGTATTTTATGAAAAAAACTTGTTATGTTAATTGTATTAACAAAAATTCCACAAAGACCATCACGTTATTTTCACTACCTAAAACGGTCAATTCCCCACAGAGATTATAATCTTAGGATGGAAACATAGAAATTACGTGAATGAATACCATTTTTACGAGAAATTTATGATTTTAGTTATGTAATTATTGTTTGCCGATTTTTACGTGTTATGTTTCTAAAATTTAAATGAATAAAAAGTATGTTAAAATTTAAAATGAATATTAATAACATGACTAACACTTGACTATTTTTCCTTGTATTCACACAAATAATTAATGAATGAATGATACAACATTATTGAATGACAATCGCGCGTAAATTTCAAAATAATTAATAATATGTATTTGAATTATCAGAACCTTCTGTCATTTAGATATCATCCAATATTAGTTTCCTCCACGCGATATTGGTATAAGGGTATGTGTAAGTGAGTGTATGTTTCGATAACGTTGATGTCAGTTATCTTATCTCATACATTAACAAAGTATTTCCTATTGAAACATACGAGTATAATGAATGCTAAATTGAATCGATATAAATACACATAAACAAATACACACGTGCTTCGATAAAATGTTACCATAATATAGGACTTAAATATACATAGGTATACCTATACTGTCAAGTGTACGTCGTGTCATGTATATTTAAATACTATTTTTTACGACAACATATTGAAATGTTAATTATTAAATATTCTTCTTAAAATAAATATCATATTATAATAAAAATTTAACAACATCGTAATAACAATGTTAACTTTGCACGTGTGTGTTGTTAAGTTTAAACGTAAAATCTGTTTTAATATACGTAAGTTTATTACATTTAAGACTCTATAAAGTAGAGTAAGAAGTATTGTCCCTGACAATTTTTGAGAGACTTTAATGCTCTATTCGAGTGTATACTTTTTTAAACTAACTATCAAAAAAAAAAAAAAAAAAAGAAAGATTTAAAACTAAAACTAATATAAATACAAAATAAATCTAAAAAAATTTGAATAAGAATAATAGTAATCAGTTAATTTAGGTATTAAAATAGGATTTAATTTAAAATAACCATAGACATAGGTAGGTACATACAAACACATAATATTTATACATAACGATACACATATAAGTACAAATAAATACTATTTATTACAATTTTTGTTCTAAATGGTATTTTTTGCTTTAGTTTCAAATAATATACCAACATTAATATACATATATTAGCAATCAATTATATTAATAAAAATATGAATAAGCATTTTTTTCTCAATCAAATTTAATTATGTAATATTTAAGATTCTATATCCTGATAAAACGTATGATACAATTAATTTTAAAATAATCGCTGTTACGATTTTTGATAAAAGCATATAAAAGTTTAATATTAAAATTAAATTAAAAACAAATGTATAATATTTTATATGGGTGCTATAGACTGTGACTGGACATTTTTTATTTATTAGGCAATTCTTTAGAAATTATGCTATAATTTTAGTTGTACAATCGTCATTATTTAATGTATAAAATCTATAATCAATTATAAATAAAATAAAATATTTTGTTATGAAATATGAACCAATGTGATTTTATCTTATTCTACTCTTCTGAAGAAAAAAAAGTATTAATATGATTTGAAATTATATATAGATGGTACTTAAAAAATAAAAAATATTCATACGGCATTATACTTTGTTTAAATCACATTTTGAATTTGAAACACTTTTCATTAGGTACCTACTTGATGCATTTTTTTCATGGATATGACACCTTGGGTATGTACATTGTATACGGATTTTCCGTCTAAAAATTCATTAGTAGATATTTAAAGTATTCATTTGTCTGCAACATTGGTGCGACGGAGGTATGTCGTTTATTTTATTTTATTTCGTCGTTTCGTCGATACACAATGTATTCATTTTGTTCATTTTTCCAAACACAGAACTGTTTTACACGTATTTGCGAGTAATAAAATGATAAATCAAATAACCGAATAAATCTTTACATATTTACTAATTTTGCAAAAATAAATTTGTTTTATCTGCGTTGGGTTTCTTTTAAATTACGTTTTTGTCCAAATATAATATTTTCTCAGTAAAATATAAATTGATGTTAGAAAACCATTGAAACGTACTTAGTAAATATTGATAATAATAAGTAAATATTCTCATAAATGAATTATTTTCATATGCATATAAATATTAATTCAAATATTGAATTTGCTAATGAGGACCTTTCTTAAAAACGTATTTCGTGATTCATTTTCTGTTATATAATTTCAATGCGATTCTATAAGTAAACTACTGATAATGCTTAATTACTGACGAATTTGTATATTCTTATGATATAAAATTTATGCACATTATGTTAATGCTAATAGTTTCAATAGAGTAAATATTAATAAAAGGTAAAAAGTGTATGTACTATTATGATAATAATCATATTTCATATCATAACATATGATAATATAATTTATATAAATTATCACTCATATTGTGTAACAGTTGCATGTGTTCATTAGGTATCTATTATTATTAATAATAATTTTGTGAAAGATCTTCGATAATTAATGATATTTTTACAAACAAACAAAAAAGTTCTCATACATAACACAAAATAATAGTAATAAAGAAGATAGTTAAAGAATCATAAAATAATGATGACATATTTTATATTATTTCTGGACATGAATATAGAATTATATTTTTAAAAAATAGGTGTAAGGTATTTGAAATATTATACACAAACAACAAACATTAATTTTATTTTTAAAGTTTTTTTTATTTTTTATTCGATCTGTTATAATATAGAACAATAAGAATAATTGATGAAAATAAAATTACAGATTAGAGAGAATGTAGAGACCTCCCAGTGGAGGTACTATGAACATTATAACATCTAAAATTTTAAATTTATCACTTAAATCACAATGCCGTATTACAATTTAAATGGTAATCATTGTATACTGAACAATGGATGAATGGCTGTACATATCTTTATCTCCTGTGAACTCTGAATTTACAAATATTTTATAAATAATTATTTTGAGGGTTGTAAAGACCGTCGATTTTTATAAGATAATTTAGATTTATAGATATTTGTGAACATAAAACGCTATTTCCATTTTATGTTTACAATTTGATTATTAAATTGTTTCAATTAGATAAAATAGATGATAAGTTTTTAGTTTCAGTTTAGAAAATTTAGTGAAAAATATCTAATTATTTTAGTAATACTTTAGTAGCATAACTGTTATATTTATTAGTAAGCATACTACGGTATAGCAAGCAAAATTTTTTTTATAAATAAGTAACAATAACCAAAATTTAAAAAAAGATATAATATTTTCTTATCATTACCGCATTTTCAGTGAATTATCTAATTAATATATGAAATGAATCATCAATATTTATTCTTTGTACTTTTTGTTTTTTTTTTATTAGAATTTAATACGTAAAAATTAAAAATTAAATACAAAATACATTTAGAAAAACACAAGTTTCAGTCTAACATATAGATATTTTCTTGCATACGAATTTTCTGATAGAGTACACAAGTATAATTGGCCATAACAAAATAAAAACTGCACGATAACATTATAGGCCTAGTTTTTGCCCTGTAGGTAGTTAGATTTTCACAATATAATCACAACATTAAAACAATGCACATTTTGACTAACAAGTCGTTATACGAGTACCTATATAATGCATCGCACGTGCATCCTGGGGCATATTTTCGGTCTTTTTTTAGCGCATAAACTACTGCCATCGATTAAGAATATCTTGGATACGGCTTTTTCGCCGTTAAAAATGTATTTATATATCTATATATAAATCGATCAAATCGACGTTTACGCTCATGGGCAAGCGGCCAAAATTTCCAAGTGCATATAATTATTGACTCGGCAGTGTCCACTATTATTATACATTGCGTGTGACGGTTTTGTTTAATGCTTATTTAGAGTTGTCTAGTGATTTTATCAATCATCTAAGAGAAGTATAATTATATAAAACTAGGCTTAAAGACAAAATGAAAATAATAACCATCGTGGAAGGCTCGGGTATATGGTTTGAGTACTTTGCCAATATAAGAACCACTGGAAAAATAATCAAATTACCGATGTAAACATACATCTTGACTATTTATAAGAGCATTTTCATCTTATTGTTTTATTTTATACAACAAATATCGTATGGGTCTGTTTCTCGTCTGAAGACATCACAGATATTTTTACCCGAATTTCAGAACTAATAGCCCTCATTTTTTAATTAAATAATCCCCAGGAAGTTTAGATCAACTGACCCGATTTGATACGTTTTGTATTTAAAATAAGTTTAAGAATAAAACTCATGGATTGTGTTGATTAATCTGTTTATCTATTTTTATATGTGAATTCATGGCA